TGAAGAACAAATAAAAAAGAAAGAAGAAAACCAAAAAAAATCAGTTCCGGAAAAATTATTCCAGAATCAAGAAGCTACTTTTTTTTGCTTCTTGATTCTGTTCCAAAACTGATTTTGGGACCAATTTTTTGCAAAATTGTGCCCTGGCACAAAAATTTTAACAAACAGATTTCTGTTCCCAAATTGATTCTGGGAACAAAAGAACAGAAATTTTCACTATTTGACACGTTGCCAAACGGGCCCTTAATTGACTCTGACAATTTGACTTGCTGGAAAACTGACGTGACGTTATTTTCATAAAAAAAATTCACCTAGAATCATTTAAATAGACAGTTATTAAAATTTTTTGATACTTAAGTGATTGTTCATAAAGTTTGGAACTAAATTTAATAATTCGTAAAGTTTGGGCACTAAACATTTTAAAATTGCGGTGCGCAAATTATGTGCAGAACAGAATATTTTCACCACAGCTTTAACTCGTCATAATGCAGGCAACGATGGTTTATGCGGAATCTTCATATTATAGTGTCATCATATTATTGATTGTAAAGACCTGTCCATGATATGTGGAGGCTATTAGTATTGAATGTTGATCTCGACTCCTGATCTCAAGTGATTTTAGAATGAAGCCATCAACATAAAGTATAAAGACTTAAACACAGGCATATCAAGTATATATTACATAATAGCAAGCGTCATCTAAGTCTCATTGGAAATGAATTATGTCCTTATATTGATATAGGAAATAAGTTGTGGACTCGTGTCACATAATACAATATATGGAACAAAACTGAAATCGGAAAATAGCACGATACTAAGGCTTCGTTTGTTTCGTAAAAAATGGATGAATTGAAAATATTTTCTTAGAAATGGTCGCTTGTAATCGATAACAATTTATGTCTAAACATTTTCGTGGATGACGAAAATATTTTTCATTTACTTATTTTTGTTTGCGATATGAATGATCATTTTTAGAATAATATTTTTCAAATCAATTATTTTTCCCTAATTAAACGCACCTTAATTTTCATAATTTCCTCAAGTTTTTGTATGGTGGTTTGTTTTTGTCCATCATATTAACTACAATAAAATAATATTATATGATATTTTCTCCCCGAAAAAGAGACCTTACATAGTGGGATACCTCTATGTGTTTATGCAGTGGCCTATGGTTTTGTAATTACTAGGCGGGAGAATGGGCGCAAGCACGTTATGACCGGTCTTATCTATACGTGCAATTCTGCGTGAATGGAGTCCTCCTTTGATTCATTCGAAATGTCTAGCCTTGAATCAGGTACATGAAATTTTTTCCAACATCGTTCGCACCACCTTCCTTCTCGTAACTAGTAAGATGGTAGTAATGTACGACGGTCCATTGGGATGACATTGTGGTCGGTTTCATAGCGCCCCAAGGCTCCTAGGATCTTCCCTAATCTTAGGTTCGGGCGATCTATGAAAATTGATTTTCAAGTTCTGATAGCGGAGGAGTCCCGACGGTTGGTTTTATTACCCAGGCCGATTCGACCTTAGAGTCCTAAGTGTTCTTAGGGAAAATGGAACTATCTGGGTGTAAGTGTGAAGGTGATTGACCTATTTGCGAAAAAAATCAGAGATCTAGGGTGCGGAGATTCGGTCATGCATGGTGAAGGGTTAATACCCCGACGGCGCCTTTTTGTACCAAATTTTCGATGAAGTCCTTTTGCACAAATAATTTATCAGTTAATATCCTGAAATATGAATACAATTTTATTTTTTACCGAGATGTAATCAGGCAATAGATTTGCATCACTTTACGACCAATTTTTTACCAATTTGTTTGATTAACCACCAACAACATTAGATAAAGAATTGGATAAATATTCACTCATATTTAGACCAAAATAAAAATTCACTCATGTAGAGAAATTCTCATATATTTATCAACTCAGCATTACACTTGAGAACTCTCCTCTATTTGTAAAGAAACCAATACATAGGAAATGTACTAAACATTAATGAGACACGAAGAACTAAAAAGCAATTAAAGACCTAGGAACTAAAAAATGAATTAATGACATGGAGACTACGAATGATACTATTACTTCTAAAAAGTCACAAAAGTATAGGTTATTTTATATGAATATGTGTATGTCTTTACTTATATATAATTTAAAGATTTTTTTTTAAGTCAAAATGGGTACATCACACGATCTGAGGAAAAAAGAACAAAAGTAACGATTAAGAGTTACTTCAGACGCATCCCACATCTTCTAATTTTGAATTTTAGGAATATATAATTGAGTTTATGTCGAGCCAAAATGAATTATCTTCTTATAGTCGCACTCATGGCAAATCAAGCGGAACCTAACATATTCATCTCCTCCACCTTACTGAATCAATATTTTTACCCTGATTTATTTTTAGGATTTGGATTATCTCTATGTCCAGTTACCCCAACCCCTAATCTAGATTCACTCACGGTCGGTAATGGACGGAGGCGGCGTTGGCTAGGGCCGGAGGTGGTTCATGGCGTCGGTGGGAAAGTCTGAAAAAGAAGAACAAACACTAAAGATGGATGAAGTGAACATCCAAAACTACATTACCTAGGCTGATGTGTCAACCTAATAGAGTGAGTAAATTTCCGATACGAACATAACCTCTGAATTTCGATCGAGAATCCACATCTTTCAAGATCACCTAAGCAGGTAGGTGGATCGACCCAGTAAAGAGCATATCTTTCCGATACGAACGTAACCTCGCCATCACGCATCCTTTTCACCATGCACGAGCGTGAAATACCCGACAAACACATCGCGAAAGGGAAGAGAAAAAAAGAAGAGGGTTTCATTTTTTAACTCCATCATTGAAAGAAAAACCTCGTTGATGTGCGAAACATTTGCACGGCACGGGCAGGCAATGGAAGCAAGAACATCGATTGGGACTCGTCACGTTGATTCGCTTTTCATGCATGTTATGCAAACCCTTATAAAAGTGCCACATCACATCGTGGTGCCATCCTCTCTTTCAGACGCAAATTGCGATGTCGATATTCTGTCCCCAATGGCCCATGTGCTCTTCCATGTGCTGTGTTTCGCTTGTCGCTTTTCAGTCCGATTTTGATTGCAATGCAACCCCGAATTCCGGACGTCCATCGTCCACCATGTGTACGACTTAATTATGCAAAGAAGCACCACCCGCTTCATTAATTGACCGTGTCTGGACGAAAGTCCCCCATCGTGTCAACAATCAACATCGGTCCTAGATTTTTCGTCCGAATGATATGATACCACAAATTTATTTTTTACATATTTGTTGATTTTATAATTCGCTTGGTACCCGCAATTTCCTTTCGACCAGCTTGATATATCCCTTTATGTCTTCTAGTTAGAGTCGAGCCATTTGGCCTCAGTTTATTAAAATGGGATTTTCTTGTTTCTCCATGGCGGATAAGTGATTCCATCTCACGAATGTACATTATTTAAGTAGATAAATCGCCCAAGCTCAATATCACAAAGTCATAATTAACAGTCGTTTGGTGGATTTCAAAATAAATGAAGAAAAAATCGAGATATCTTATCGCCTTTTGCTTCCATCAAAGAACATCAAAGGCGAATTTTACCGTTGTTCCCCACGGCCTATTTACTAATTATGCACTTATCGACATCATATCTTTTTCAACAAAAAAAAAAAAGACATCATATCTTCATTTGATTTACACATTGCAAACATAATTGTACCTAATTCGATACTCATAGATTAGGTTAACCTTTTTGTCTTTTGGTAATCTCCTTCCTTCACCTTTTTCTTTCTTCCCTCTACTGTGGCCGGGCACAGACAACGGACAAAAGAGCAGATGCAAAACTTCATTAGTGTCGGTCCAGTAAATCAGCAATGAGAATGCCAATAATTGATGATCGATTCTCCAATAGACAAGACGGAGGCCCCCCCAAGTTGCCCTTAGATCCCCACTTTAGGAGGCTCTAGTAAAAAAGCCCTAAAGCTTTGATGTGTCCACAATTAGCACTGGTGGATTTTGTTCATCGGGACATCTCTTGCTGACCACTGCCTCCTGTACTGGACCACCTTCTGAACCTTACAAACCCCGCGGAACCGACCTGATCAGGATAAGCTCAGTAACCGGTATAGTACATGTTGTATGTATGGTTGCATCTGGGACACTCGTTACATTATACCGAATGAAGAGTGTGTTTGTTTGAGTAAGAGAATTTTTGCGCAGTAGGTTTCTGAACTTTCACGCATTTGATTTATTGAAAATGATCAGTAAAAAAAGAAAAACCATTTACGATCAAAGAAAATATGTATGCTAATGTTAGGAAAACAAAATCCCTTAACCAGAAAAGAACAAAACATTTTCATTTAGTGTTTGACTGTGTCGTATCTGCTTGCAAGCATTGCTTTGAATGCGAAATTACTCTTGGATGTATTTATTTCGGAGAAAATTTCATTAGTAAGGACAATACTTTCTAAATAGTATATGTAACAAGTGGCTCTAGAGTATTCGTTAACCAAATATATATGATTATATTAAGTGTACTAAGTCCAGTATACGAGCCGAATTTACAAAGTAATACGACAAGAAATACAGACATTTAAATAACTTAGTCATAGTCGATGCTTAGTAAAAATCTATTACATAATTTTACAACACCAGCATTGTTAATCGATCCTAACATCCCTAACACTATTCTTTTCAAAGAATTGAAGTTAGGCAGAAAGCTTTAACCAAAACGGGTAGATAAGACTCCGACTTCTACTGGAGGATAGAGATCACCTGGGCACCCAAACCTGAAGAGTATTGCACTTAAATGATAGGGCGTGTACTGGTTTTACTCTCATTGTAAGTGAATAATGGCACATCCTTGATCCTCGAGTAACCGAGTCAGGGACAATTGTTTCGAACTCCGGCTGCACACTCGCGTCACGACTTGCAATATACTGATAGGAACTCATTCTACTCAAATTTGACTACTCGAGAAGTTTCTGATCAGTGACTGGCCAAATTTTGGTTTCGAAGCTCATCTTATTCTTATAGACATTATATAAAGAAAGAAAGAACCCAGAAGTCCAAAATCTCCAAACTCCAAATAACCAATTCTTACATGGCAATACAATGAGTTCGGCTTTCCTCTCTTTTTCATGGAGAGAAATATATATCGGAACATGGACCGACAATTCTAGAGCCGGTCATCTTACCTTTGTTCCAACTCCAGTGAAAGGAGACATTTCACACTGAAATTGGGCCAATATGTGTGGGACGAAGCACTTCTCATCCATCATGAACAGATAGTAACGAACTTGGTTTAGTACTTTATTGCTCAGAAGGGAAGAACAATGTGGACCGTGCAATTTGCTGGGACTCCCCTGCTTCCACAATCTGCTCTTGTCCCCACAGCATAAAATCGGACTGAAGGATGAGAAAGAGGTAAGCGACACCTTGTTCAGATGCTAGGCTATCTTCAGTCAGCTAAAACAAAAGCAGAACAGTGGTAAATCAGAGTCTCACCATGCCCAAACAGACTGAAGATCCACATAGCCAATTGATCAAATGCAAGTTTCACTAGGTTTGCAATACTAACTTCTGTCCTAACATCAGAAGAGTGATATCTACATATGTTGAGATCACCAAAAGCTATTTTGTTTTGTATGTCGGCACATTCAGCTTTAGTAAGCAAAGCAGGTTTTCGAAACTGAAGGTGAACATACAATGGCATAACTAATGATCAAGTCCATCAATCACCTTTCTTCAGAATAAACACCTTCATGCATTTAAAATTAGCGTCATCACTAGCAGATTGCTAAGCAGTGGCATTAATTATGTGAACACAGCATAAGATATGTTTGATTGTTTTAACCAAGATGCGATTATGATAAAAGAAACCAAAACGCAATGCTCCAATCTCTGTTTAATTCACTGGAACAAAACCCAGAACCAATCTTGAACAACTTCCTTTTTTTTTCTTTTACAATAATAACGACCTCGAGTTTCCAGACAAGGAACTTGGAAGTCAGACTATTGAAACAGCCCTTATTGCATGCACTGAGTTTGTGTGAGCCCAGTCCAGATCATGCGGATCCCTCATGGGACCAGGCAAAAATAACGGTTACTATGCACTTAGGCTCGGACAAAGCTAGCGAATGCTACAATTTTTCCTGCCGAAGAGATGGCCAGACACTTCAAAACTCACTTCAAGACTATCAGCAGTGTCAAGGCCAAGCAAGAGTTGCAGTTTTTTGTTTGTTAGTGACTCAACAATAGAACAAGTAGCAACTGCAGTAAATAATTATTCACTCTGGCCCACCAACACAACAGTTCAGAACAAGCCTGTGCTGCTTCTAGCTTGAATAGTTAGAAAGTATGGATAAGAGAATAACACAAGCAGGTACAATGATAAGCAATATTGTTTAAATCAGGTGATAATCAAGCCAAGAAACTTCCAAAAAGATATCAGAAAACAATAGCATTCTTGTACATGATCTAGAGATAAAAACAGATGCTGCTAGACATAAGCTTTTTAGGCCCTGGACTTAATGCATGTGTTCCTAAATCTGCTCTTCGTTCTAAACTCATGAATCATATTGAAAAATAAATAGGAAGGAGGAAGGAAAGTGGAGAAGAACGCTCCACCCGGGTCACACCAAATAGATGATTTTGAGAAGAAACAATGAGCACAACAATGATATGCCGAGATTGGAAGTACCTCAAAGGCAATTATGGCAGTGCCACGGTCAGTTTCTCTTCGCTATTCTCAATGTTGTTCCTTTGAGCATCTGGCAGGCTCTTTAAGACCTGCATATGATGCCAAATTATGCAACCAGACAATACAAGATTTAGCTACCCCTGGCATTTCAACAAAATTAAACACACATGATAATATTTTCAAAGTCCTATTTAAAGGGCTGTTTAAGGCCAGGATTCAGTCAAAAAGGAGGCATTATAAATTTCAATTTCAGACTTCGATTCAGCAACTAGTTTGTTTCAATTTTTGAAAAATTCCAACATATATCGGAATCAAAGCTGGTAGCCAATTTATTTTTTCCTTTTTTCCTTTTCTTTTTCTGGTTATTGTGAAAAGATGCTTACACACACCTAAAATTCATGAAAAAGCGTGGTACCGTTTTTCTATTCTACCAGTTCGCTGAAGCATGAAATTAAATGAAGATATCTGCGGATCAAACTATGACCATGCACCAAGTTATAAAGAGTTAGAAGCTTTTAAAAGTACTTGTGCTGAAGTTGAACCTAAAGATATTTGCAAGGAATCTGAATTTGTTTATATTGAGAAAAAACATAAAATACCTTTAAGTAATACGATTGAGATCCGGGAGATGTGCTAAATACACCATATATAAACAACTATCCTCGGAATATCACAAAATTGCGGTCCAAATACGTCTCTTGATCTAAAGCATATTCAAGAGTTCTTCTATCCTCAACCCTAATTGACCTGCTAAATATTTCGTTTCATTTGAATCAGCACTCCCATGCATAAGATTATAGAGGCATTTCCAACTTGCTTCTCAAACAAGTAAAGAAAAGTGACCATGAGAGTGATGATCCAATTTCAAAGCAACAGATTTACTACCTGATATAGATGCCAAGAAGCAAATGCGTCAGTGGCAGCATAAAATTGTTGTTCTTCTGATAAAAAAACAGCCTCCCAATTTCCACACCTAATTTTCATAATTTTCTGCAGCTGCAAGATGTAAAAACTATGATTAATGCCAGCTCAAATCTTCCATGGACATCAATTTCACTAATTTTAGAAGGCTAGCTTTGATGGAGAAGCAGTCTACAGCATGCAGTCTTACACCGGATCCCCATTTGATCCCCATTCATCCTTTTCATTCAACCATCACATCAATAAGCTCATACAACATCTTGTAAACTGATCAAGATAAAAGCTAATCTTTCAACTTATTTCACAGCTTATTCATCATATTTGTTGATGCATAGTATACATCCATTTACATGGACAACGAAGCAAAATACAACTTAATCTCTTCGCATTAACATATAAGTCAATACTGCAGAAGTTCTTTTGGCCCGAATTCAGTCATATAATTGACAGAATCTTCTAGAGGAGCTCTGCGAGGAGAATTTAAGCGCCACCAGAAGGATTTTCTAACTTCTTGCTAGAACTATAGGCTTTATAAGATAAAAATGAGATGTAAATAGTTTATATTTTTATGCATTGACGATCTCAAGTTCTAAAATTGGTAACAAGTTGTTTAAAAAAACACTGAGAACCAAATGCTTAATATTTATGAAATGCGCAGTTGCAAACACTATTGATATGTTGAATGATTCTAACGTCCCATGAAGATTTATACATTAAACAAATGAAAAACCAATTGCTTACTTAATGCATTAAGTAGATTTTTTGCTTAATTGTTTAAGCCAAAATTAGTAAAAACAAATGGGTTTAATCTTATTTAGTATTCAATGTTTGAATATGCACATGCCGGGTGTAGCACTTTATTTATGAGAGCTACTTGATGAACTCAGTTAAAATAAAAACCAGGCAACATAATCAGTTCGACCAATTAAACTGTGTATATGACCGATCTGGTTTAGTCTCTTGTATGGTTCTAAAACCATTGATATAAACAGAAATAGAAGTTTTTGGCGTTTGCTAGAGCAACCCATAGCCAGATTCTATGAACATGGCAGAACAACGGATCTCGATTTAAAATACGAGAAGGTTTTAGTCCCTGTAGGAGTAAAATTTGTGATAAGATTACATTTTATGCTTCAAGAAATATATTCTTAATACAGCACAAAAAACACTGCAGATACGATTTGATTATACTTGCCAAATCCTCTCACGTTTACAGCATTAGCCATCATTAACTCTACTCAAAGAAATTTTAATTATAATCAGTTGCTATTCATAATATATACTCCATCAAATAAGTAGAGATACTACTGTACAAATAGTCGATTCAACAGATATATGATGGTCAAATAACTTATACCTAGAAAAGGATCTAAGAACTTAGGTTGAGCCTTTCATTGTCAAGAGGACTTTATCACTGAAGTCCAGCATTTAGAAAGCAGTCAGAAAATTACTCATGAGTGGCCATGATGATTGCAAAAGAAGTTGAACTATAACCTGCTTATTTATAAGCACCTCGCTTAGAGATGCAAGACTCCACCGATAACGAGGCAGAGCAAGCTTTTGATTAGCAAGTTCTGAAAGATCCTGAAAAGCATTGACAGATACACTGTAATCCTTAAGCACCTTTCTAACATCACCAGCTATGCCAACTCCAACCTGTACATGCAAGCATAACATCATTATGCAGTTAAGTTACAAATTTTCCCAAAATCAACTAGACATATACCAATAGCCACTAAAAACTAGACATATGCGAACCTTTAATACGGTGGTATCCTCTAAAATAAGCTTCAAACTAGGAGGGACGCCAGAATGAATAACATGCATCACATGGCAGTGGTCATTGTCACCACAAATCTGCATTACTGCCGTCTTCCGAGGTGGAACACCTGCAAGTCTTGCATCAAGCTAATGACTGAGCAATATAATGTATCGATTTTTTAATCTCTATTTCTACTTCCTTTTTCTTCCTCGAGAGAAAAATGCGAGTTTATCTTCAGAGCATGCACCCAAGGGCCAAGACCATACAAATAAAATAAATCCAATTGGAAGAAAAGAAAGAAGATAAGAAAGAAAAAGAAACTTTGTTTATACCACTCAAAAACCTTAATTGCCTATTTGAAACTTAAAAGAAGTCCTTTTAGCTTTCCCTGTAAAATTTTGAAAATGCAAAATAATATACATTCATAGGGAAATTGAGGAAAAAGAGATAAACGACTCCTCGTTGTCAATATTTTTATGTTTTCCAAGGTGTTAGGCATCCGACATAAGCTAAAGATAAAATTTCAGACACTAAAAGAAAATGAAGCGGCAAAAAGTAAAAGTTACTCAAAAAGACCTTCTCTACCAACGCTAGAAGCAAGGAATAAGACACAAGCACTATACTGAAAAACATCAGGTTAAAAACAGATCTATGTAAATCTACAAAGTGAAATGTAGATTTGTAAAAGTAAATTGTCGTAATTACTTTACATGTGACCGGAACCAGGAGACCGCAGCACAATTGAAAGAAATGAAGCTAATATTTCAGAAGATCAGGGGAAAAACTCATCAATTTGTAAGAAGAAACAAAATTTGTTGGCATTTACTTGTTATTGAATGTAAAAATAGAACACAATAACAATTTCCTAAAAGGAAAAAAACTGTCAATAGACCACTGAAGTGCAGGAATTTGTACCATTTCATGAAGTAGTCACAAGAAAATCAAATCTTGCTGCTGAATAAACATCAACAGACAATTGCAGCGATGTAAATTTGATCTAAACACAGAACCAAAGCACTACTAAGCCAACCACAAAACACCATTAAACATAACGCGAAAGCAAAACTGACCAAACCTCTTTGAAACGTGGGCCTATACTCGATGTCAAAACCAATAATGACTTGATCCATTACACTTTTCATGGCATCAATTTTCTTCAAAAGCTCTGCCGCGGCTCTCTCTACACCAGTAGCACTCCGGCTGTACATAATCCGACCTCCGAATGTCATCACAGGGAGTTTAATCCGCATACTTTCTGTCATGCAAAAGGCGGCGAATAATGATTCCATCACATTTGCACATAAACACATCCCTTTTCAATTAAATGAGGACAAGACTTTAACTAAGCCGAAACCGCAGAAACAGGAGAGTTAATCAAAGAACAAAGTCATCAAAGAAACTAACCAAAATCCTGTCTTGCAATATAGCCCAGAATTGCTCTAACAAAATGCAGCTATAGTGAAGTCCTATCCTATCTGAAACCCTTTCACACAGCCCCACTGGCAGGCAATCTCTCGCTAGAGGGGGTAAAAAAAAACCCTACAAACTCCGGATTCCTACGGCAATCATCTATAACATCATCCAGGGAACAGGAAATGCAAGCGAGACGGGCCTCGTTCGTACGTTGCGAAGAGAATGAACCGGGCAGACGCCGTCGGAGTCCGCCGGGGCGATCCTCGCCGCCGGAGACGGAGCGCCGCTTCCTGGAGATGGCGGCTTCGATGGCGGCTTCGATGCCGTCGAGCTCTTGGTCGGTGAAGGGCTGGTCCCAGCCCGGTACGGACTCGGCGCCGATTGAGCGAGCGTCGGCGACGATGGTGGGAGCGTAGCCGTCGGCGTTCGCGATTTCCATCTACGGTCGGTTCGAAGTCATGGAGGAGGGAGCTCGAATTCAAAAATTCTGTAGGAAAAAGATTAGCTTACGGAAGACAAGGAAAAGATTTTTATCCATAAAAATTTTTAGGCATTAATTATTGTTAATAATAACAATAGTTCTCATTGATTTATTTTTATAAGCGATAGCAATAATTTAAGTTAGGAAAATATTTCTTGATTCACTAATTTTTCGTGAAATAAAAAGAGCTTTTTGTATTATTTGAGTTATGAAAATATAAAAATTCCACCGCCCAACCCCATATGATGTCTTAGCATCATAAGGTGGGCGAACAACTATGCCGTGGCGAGTGTGATCCGTGTCATTTCAAAAATACACAATGCATTCAGAACAAGTCTAATGGACGAATCCAATCTAGATCAATCATTCCGACAAGACGAGATGATCAGTACATCTCATATACAAAATTCACAAATCAAAATATCTGAAATCGATATACATACAATACACTCCATGTATATAAAAAAGGGATGAATACGGTCCAATAGAAAATACTGATTTATATCAAAACAACGGGGACACAGCCAATCTAACATTAAAATGAATGATACATCTCGTGTATATTAAAATAGCGAAAATAAATAATTCCTTAATAGCATACTTTGCCTTAATAGTAGATATAGCACTCTAGCCATTATACCCAATTGCAAGACCAAACTCTTTAAACAATATGTGCAGCCATATCACTTCCTTAGCAGCATGAGTACGGGTCACGTACTAGATAAAGCAACCATGCTCTGCCTATTGCTCATCCAATTCATAGCTTCGCCGAATAAGAAAACAACATATTCGCAGGTCTGAGGTCTTCCTCCAACTCATGAATGGTGTATCCCCTTCTATTGAATTAGATACTCCTTTGCTTGGCTTCTAATGGCGGGCGGGTCTTGAACAATCCGCTCGGCTCCAATCTCTGCCATAGCATTGCCCGTTGGGAAGTTGATCTTCACTCCGGATCGAGTTGGTACACTGGTACTAGATTAGCCTTCTCTTTTGATTGGCCCACTTCCATCCTCTTAGGCTGCGTTTAGTCGTCCGGATTTCTAGTCAGGATAGGATTGGATATGATAGGATAAGAAATCCATTGATATTGTTGTATCCTTAAAGTCAGATATTTTTATATCATATCCTATTTATTATTTGGTAGAAATTGGATATCAATATAAAAACAGCATGAACATAAATCCAGCAAATTTAAGTCACAAAAAGCATATTGAAAACATACACAGCATTCTTAGCCAAGAATCCAGCATATTCTGACTTATACAACACTCATAACAAGAAATCAACATATTTTTGAACATGTACAGCAAGAACAACAATGAATCCAGTAAATTTGAGCCATATACAGTCATATTCCGCGAGCATACAATGCAGCGGGTGTACAAATTGAACAAGTAGCACATCCTGAAATGAATATTTTGCAAGCTAGTAGTGATAACTGAAATAAACCACCATGTACTTGCACGTACATTGTGAGCACAATATTAATGATACTCGAACATATCCATCGCATGTGAAGGGGATTCTCAATCTGAATCAGAGCAGCAATTAGTATTCGGAAAAAAAAAAAGCTACAACTCCACATGTGAACAATTTGCGATTATAAAAGATTTCTCTGCATCAACACCTAAACAATTGTGATACGAGCAATTTGAACACCTCAAGCTCAAAAATGTATCCAGAGGCTCTTGGTTTAGACCACAATTCAGTAACATAACCAAATGAGTATTTAATTCACTGAGAACAAAGTAAACCGAAGCATTGAGGGAAAGAGAACTCTCGTAAACATTTCATCGAATAGGTTATGTGACTATCTCAAATTCAAATTCGCAACCTGAATCAATCTAGATCAGTACATGACGTTTGCAATCGAAGCCATAAACTCAGACGTAACATAATCACCGAGTGACAGCAATCTCATTCAAAGCCTATATATTGATTGAATCTTTCCTTCGGATTGCTTCGATCGATACCTTACTTCCCTCGTTGTAAATCCAATCCAATCCTTTGCCGATCATCGCGTGTCGCAGAGAGGAAGACTATGAGGACAAGAAAGTCCTGGAAGACGACATGGAAGATGAAGAAGTGGAGGAAGACTACGGAAAAACTGGTGTTGGCAAGAAGCGGAGGAGATCGGACTTCATAGACGACGTCATGGATGAGGACACTGAGGAGGAAGAGGAAGACTATGAGGATGATGATTTCAGTGGCGGCGACAGGGGAAGAGGCAGCGTGCGAAGAGGAGATCGGGGTCAGAGTTCTTCGATCTCGAGCCTCAGGTTGACAGCGATGAGGAAGAGGATGAGGACGATGTTGAGGTCGATACGTGAAAGAGCGTTTCTTCACAAGAAATCCTATCTGGATTTATCCCACCTCTCCCCCTAAGATTTTTTTATCCAGGCTATATCCCCTTTATATCCCTCTTCATTCTATCATGAACAGCCACCAAACACAGGATAGGATAAACACATCCTATCCTGACTTTTATCCGGACGACCAAACACAGCCTTAAGGGCTTCTCAATATAAGCTTGGGCAATGTCAGTATTTTGCCTCTAGTCTTTGGTGAAGTTGTAGGCTCGCGCATGCTTCGCGCATCTAACATTGCCATTGTGTGAGGATGCTGTGGATGCTGGCATGTCACCACTCCAAACGTGCTCTTGTTGGAGGAACAGCTCCACCAAATGTTGAAGCAAAATTAGGAACAAGTTCACTCAATTCTTCTAGTTGGCACTCACGCAGTGCCTCAACTACTCTTCTAGCTTGTAGTTGAACAATTATATCCAGCCATCTATTTGGGAATAAAGGTTGTAAAGATAGCACAGGTTGGACTCCATGATTCTATTAGAAATTGTGTGTGAAATTATAGTCACGATCACTAATTATGCTCTAGGGCAGAGCCTATTGTTTCACTACATGGCAAAAGAACAACGAGGTTGTCTCTTTTAGGAAGCTAGAGATGAACATTACATACTTCGAGACTAACTTACCACAACAAGATGTCGAATAATTTCGCACCTTAAGCAAGCACGTGATGTAGTCCATCGACACACTCTCTCATGAGATCATATTTGGCGGTTTACTATCATCACGTCACGTGCCTACGTGGCGTATATTTTCTCACGTGGATCCATTATGAGATCGCCATGTGGCGTCTAACATGGAGAAAGGGAAAGCCCTATTATAGCTCTCTCTCCTCAGCACACCTATTCCCTCAAAGAAGACTGAGCAAGGCACCTTGCATTAAATGCGAGCATTTATTGCCATCCTCTCTCCTCTTTCTTTCACGAATAGCTTTTTTTTTTTTTTTTTACTTTTGGAAACTCTTCTCCTTCTTTCTAGAAAGTTTCCCTTCCCTCCTCCTTCATCTTTGCTTGTGCTCTTTGTTTTCTCCAGAAATCGCAGGTGAGCTTGGGTTTCCAGAGAAAAGCGAACGGTCGGTCGTAGCGCAGTGGCTGGGTCCTGAGCATCCTCCAACTTTGCCTCCAACATGTGGCTTGTCGCCTCCGCCTCCACCTCATGGCCGTTGGCTCCGCTCGTCGTCGTGGCCTCCGCCTCGTGGCCGTCGGCTCCGCTTGTCGCCGTCGGCTCTACCTCATGGCCGTGGGCTCCGCTCGTTGCCGTGGACTCCCCCTCATCGCCTTTGCCTCGTGGCCGTCGGCTTCGCCTCGTCACCTCTGCCTTGTGGTCGTCCGCTCCGCCTCGTGGCCGTTGGCTCTGCTCATTACCGTCGGCTCCGCCTCCACAGCCAGTCAGGTTAGGTGCTATAAATTTTAATTCACCGGTAATGGACTTTGAGTCCATATATTTTAATCCACCGATAATATTCGATGTCTTTGTTTTATTCGCATCTTCACCTCCGAACACACATCACACGATCATCGCTGGTCAAGATGCCACCGCAATTTTCATAATACTATTATCTTAACAACAGAATTATCTAAAATCGTATGGACAATGGGCGGCCTGTTCCCATTGTGTAGTGAATCCACCGAATTGAATATTCTGTAATGGCAACCTAGTTTATGGTGATATGTAGAGCTTGCGATTGGAGGAAGTAAAGTTCATGTTGGCTGCATAATGAAAAGCGAGGACAAAAATAGAATTGGCTTGCAGAGAAGAGAAGTGAGTATGTCGTTTTCTATTATGATTGAAATATGCACACTTCACAATCTTTTAGTCAATAACTTACATTTGTACGAATTTTCGACAGTTTATTCCGAGTACTTCGCCGCTTGCTTGATTTGTTCTCGGGACAAATGGGTATGGCTTATCTTTTTAGAATTAAAGTTTGTTTTCACTTTATATGCCTTATTTAAATGATTAGATTTTTTCTTTTAATAATTTTTAGAGGCTGCTGAGGATAATATCATCGTGCATAATGTTGATAAAGAATTTGAATTTAGAATTGGCATTATATTTGCTAATGAGGATGAAGCATATAAGACATACAATGCATATGCAATTTCCAAGGGATTTGGAGTGAGAAGAGGATGAAAGGCAAACATTAGTAAAGGATTATTGCGAACATGCACATTTTTTTGTAATTGTGAAGGATACTCTCCACCAATCTCACCTCATGAACAAAGAGATGTTTATAGGACAGTGAAGAGAATTAGATGTCAAGCTTGCATGAAATTCAAAATTGAAAATGGAGATAGGATAGTCAACAAGTTTAAAGATGTTCATAATCATCCTTTCATCGATGATAAACAAAAACATTTGATACGATCATACCGGCATATGATAGATTCTAATAAAAGTATTTTGACTTTAATGACTGGAGCTAGTGTAAGGGCTATGAAAGCATATTCTTACCTGAGTGGTGAAGCGGGAGGACAGGAGAATATTGGTTTTACTTTACGTGATTGTCAAAATTTCTTACAATTGAAGAGAAGGGACTTGATTAGTGTGGGTGATTGTCAAAGTCTCATTAATCATTTTAATTTCTTACAATCAAATGGAAGCAATTTTTCATATACATTTCAACTGGATGAGGAACAAAGACTGACCAGCTTTTTTTGA